CCCTTCCACCGCGCTCAAACTCATCTTCAACCTCAGAGGCGTCCGCGGTACCGGGAAATCCGACAAGCAAGGGTTTTACACGGCGGCGATTTGGCTCCACAACCACCACCCCAAAACCCTAGCCTCAAATATATCCCACTTGGCGGATTTCGGTTACATCAAGGACATGCCTGAGATTCTATTTCGCCTTCTCGAGGGCGCCGATGTTAGATCCACGCAGAAGACTGAATGGGATCGGAGAAAGCATCTCGCGGTCAGAAAGAGTATTAAGATGAAAAATAAGGGAACAGTTAACAAGAAGAAAGTTATGTACATGGTTCCCTCTCTGCCCAAAGAAGAAAGGAAACTTGTTATGGCGAAGAAGGTGATCGATAAATACAACGGCGATGGAGATTTCCGGTATCTCTATGACCGGATCTCCGATTTCTTCGGGGAAGCTCTCAGAGCCGATCTGGAGCGCTTGAAGGCAGGGGAGATGAACAAGATAAGCCTCGCAGCAAAATGGTGCCCATCCATCGATTCCTCCTTCGATCGGTCAACTCTGTTATGTGAAGCCATTGCACAGAAGGTGTTCCCCAGAATGTCCCATCCAGAATACGAAGGAATCGAAGACGCTCATTACATATACAGAGTCCGGGACCGTCTCCGGAAGGAAGTCCTTGTTCCTCTCCGGAAGGTTCTAGAATTGCCGGAAATCTACATCTGAGCCAACCGCTGGGACTCCATACCCTACAACAGAGTCCCCTCCGTCGCCATGAAATTCTACAAGGAAAAGTTTCTCAAACATGATGCGGAACGATTCCAGAGCTTTCTGGAGGCCGTGAAAAAGGGGGAAGCTAAAATAGCGGCGGGCGCTCTGTTACCGCACGAGATAATCCAGGCATTGAATGATGGCGAAGCTGACGGAGGGGAAGTAGCAGAGCTGCAGTGGAAGAGAATGGTGGACGATCTTCTCCAGAGAGGGAAGCTGAGGAACTGCATGGCAATCTGCGATGTCTCGGGAAGCATGGAAGGAACTCCAATGGAAGTTTCGGTGGCATTAGGCGTTCTTGTTTCCGAGCTGAGCGAGGAGCCATGGAAGGGGAAGCTGATCACTTTCAGGGCAAACCCGACCCTTCAGATGGTCAGTGGCTCTTCTCTGCGGGAGAAGACTAGCTTCGTAAGGAGGATGGATTGGGGGATGAACACGGACTTCCAGAAGGTGTTTGATCTGATCCTGAATGTGGCCGTGCAGGGGAAATTGAAGCCGGAGCAGATGATCAAGAGGCTTTTCGTTTTCAGCGACATGGAATTCGACCAAGCCTCAAGAACCTAGGATCGTTCTATGAGAAGGGCTACCTGGGAAACGGATTACCAGAAGATAGTGAGGAAGTTCAATGAGAAGGGCTACGGGGAGGCGATCCCACAGATTGTTTTCTGGAACCTGAGGGACTCGAGGGCCACGCCGGTGCCGGGGAGCCAGGAGGGAGTGGCTCTGGTGAGTGGGTTTTCAAAGAATCTGTTGAAGATGTTCTTCGAGGGAGACGGGATTATCAGCCCTGTGGAGGTCATGCAGTCAGCCATCTCCGGCGAAGAGTATCAGAAACTCGCCGTGGTTGACTAAACCAGATTCGTTTCCATTAATGCCTTTCTTGTTTTAGTGGTATCAGTGTTGCCATTAATAAATCATTACTACTCGTGTCGTTTTTTTTTTTTGAAGTTTATAAATCATCTTTTCGTTTCCAACGCTAACTATTGCTTGGAGAATGTTTTTCATGTGACAGAACGTACTTCAGAATTGTTTTTTGGAATCTGTTGCACATTTTGATCAATCTCAGTTGATAGAGATAACAATCAGTCACATAAACTTTCTTGAGCCTAATGTTTTGCAGCACAGAAACTACCGTTATAGTCTCTAACGATCTATCCGACGTTAAGCTTAACCCGCCCAATTGGTGGTTTCTTCCACGAAGAGAGACGTGGTTTATGTTGTGACGGTTGTTTTTATGAAAGTCACTCCTATAATGATGAGCAAGATGGGTTGTATCAACTATCATCCACTACAAAAAGATGTCTTTTAATGTGATTACAAATCACAATAAAAGAATGAAAAATCCTCTTCTTATTTTAACGAGAGGAAATTTAATCCCATCAACTATCACTGTTGCTGTACAGGTAAATAGATTTAATGATCTAGAAATCACCCTAAATAAAATTAAAATATAGGACGAAAAATACTAAAATAGGAGTTTCATGTTTTTATTTTCGAAATAAGACTTCGCATTGTGGTTATATTGTTGTAATGTGGCACTGTACATACGCATATTACTATACTTTTTAGTAATGTACATGACCATAACCATGTTTAGTAATATAAATAGATCTTAAATCCTATTTCGGGAATAACAACATAGAATTTCTATTTTGATACTCCCTCCGTTTCTCAAAACAGTTCTTGTTTTGACTTTGGGAAAAAATAAGAAAAGTGTAATTTTAGATGACTTTCCAATTTTGCCCCTGATGTAATGGGTAAAAGTAAGATGTGATAGTTTAGTTATTAGTGAAAAAGTATAATGTGATAGGTAGGGTATGAAAAAAGTAGGGGTAAAAGTGGTTTTTTAATAGAAAATGTAAGTGTTTTAGGAAAAACAAAAAAATGAAAGAGGAAGGGTTTTAAGAAACGGAGGGAGTATATTTTTAATATTTTACTCAGTTTTTTCCCCTTACTGATGCACTCCAAATCTTTGCATCAAATACTACGGAGAGAGTGTAATCTAATTTCGTTTGGCCTAATAATTTGAGTTACGGATAGTTAGAACTTCGAATCTAATTTCGTTTGGCCTAAATTGTTTTATATCAAAGTTGGTGTAGAATCAAAAAAAATTATATGTTTAAAAACTACAAAAGATCTATAAAACTAATGATGATATGGTTATATTATTCTATTAAATGACTGACAAAAATAGAGAGAAACTAACTAAAGTTTGGTCATAAAAATAGTAAACATACAAATTCATTTGGAACAGATAGAGTATCAATTAGTTACTTGTAATTTGATTTCTGTTGGATTCAAATTAGGACTTTTTTAAATTAAGAATTTTGGATAAGTTGAAACTAAATTGAAATAAGAGAATTTTGTCATTTCATATTGTATTAAATAGGAGTGGCCACGGTATCGGTACGGTACCGTGATCGGCAACG